TCCTAGACGTGATTCGGGGCTTGTTCTGTAACGTGACGGCTGTCGGATGGATCGGGCGCGGAGGCAGTTCGTCGCTGGGCAGTCGCAGGATTTCCAGATGCTAAATCAGAGGCCAGGAGGCGTTCAAAGCCAAGCCGTGCGTGGCCAAGGAGCGAGTGGGTGTGTGGGGATGGGTGGGAAGCCGAGCTGGCATTCCCCTCCGCCGTGCCCGTTTAATACCACGGTCCGCTGACGGGAGCGCCGTTGGCGGTGGATGTGTTGCATGTGTAACGTGCTCTGGGTTTTGTTTACTAATACAGTTTGACAGTGGCCCTCTGGGACGGGCGGGATCCGCTTCCACCACCTCCGCGCGTGTCGCAAAAGAGCTGGGAACGGATGACAAAAAGTTTAACTTCTCTTTCAAAAGGCGTTTTGCAGAACTTTGCCACCGTTTGGTGAGTTGCACAAGTACAAACAGCCGTCTCCTGCCGGCTTGGCACTCACATGACTCAGAGGAAGCTCGGCTGTAAACAAACGTGCTGCGATGAGCAGTTACCATGTTCCCACTCACTTTTGGTGCAACGGTCAGATAATTCCCTTTGCAAAATGGCCGCTGGGCATGCCTTCTTCGGGGAGCCACGCCAGGGAGGTGTCGTTTCCTGACTCCAGCGTGCTCTCACCTCTTGCCTGTGGTATTCTGAGGCTTTTGTTATTCTAGTGTGGTACCCGTTTGCTGGCTGGCCTGCATCTGCAGCGAGTGCAAATTGGGGGAGTTCGGGCAAGTTCGGTGCTAATTTACGCTGCCTTCGCTCGTAGTCTCCTTGGATTCAAAGTGCTACTCCAGGGGCGTGGTGTGAGTTGGAGCAACCCTGAGGACGTTGCTCATGCCTGTAAGACCACCGCGGGAAGAGGTGTTCCCAACAGCCAAGGTGAGCTAGATGATCCCTAGACAAGATAGCAGGAGCTAGGTTCTCCCAGCTCTATGCCTCTGTCCTGGCTGGGGAAGTCCTGGCATCCATCTGCCCAGGATCTTTCCTACGTGGGCATGCACCCCGCTTGCTGTTTGTCACAGCCAGACAGGGAGCAGGAGCCTGGGGTGTCGGGTCAGCAGCAGGAGGGAGAGGGAGGCTGCTGTGAAACACGGACGGCTTTGGGCTGGTGGGATGCTGATGTTTCGGGACCACTTTCCTGGGGTGGGGCTGCTTTGGCGCCGTTGTGGCTGGTGGGGGACGGTGCGGTGGGGGCTGCAGAGAGGTTTTGCTGGGCACGGTGTCCTGCCGACCCTGGCGGACGCAGAGTTTGTCCAGGGGGAAGGAATGTGATCCAGGACAGCGAGCAGGGCAGGAGGTCAGGAAACCATTGGGGATACAGCTGCCTTCGATGCAACGCAAGCTGAGCTGATCAGAGCCTGTACCGTACTCAGGGAGCTGACAAGGAAGCCGTTTATTTTGCATCCCCTCCGTCCCTGGGGAACGGGGCAGTTTGTGGGTAGCATGTGGATCACCTCTCCCACTCGCTGTGACTCCACTCCTGTTTCATAGGGACCCGGGATGGGCTTTCTCGTGGCACGCCCGGTGCAGTCTGCAGCTCTCGCAGCAGCACCGTGAGCTCTGCCGTGCTTCCAGGGACAGCCGTGGTGGGTGCCAGCAGGGATGGCCGTGCCAGCCCAGCCCTCTAGCAGCTGGAGCAGTGCCATGACTGATTGGACGGGGAGGTTTACAGGCCAAAGAAGGCGATTTGGAGTATCTCTGGGTGAGGGCAGGCACTCAGCCTCCGGGGCCGCAGGTGCTGGCGCTTTGGGAGAAGCCAGGGAGGGCAGCAGGTACCTCCAGCATGGCTGGAACCCAGCAGGCTACCAAGGAGACGTTTCAGAGTTTGCAGAGCCTCATGTCAGGCTGGGCTGAGCGGTGCATCAGGCTCCTTCCCAGGTAGGAGAGTATTAATTGGTTTTGTTATGCCCTGATTGCCCCTGGGACTGCTTGGGAAGGATAAGAAGATATCAGCTTTAAAAAAAACACCCATTCCTTCCTTTTTCCTGGTGCTAAGTGTCTCTGTTCAGTGTAGTGAGGTTGTGTGTGGGGAACAAGAGGAGGAGCAGGTGTCTGGCTCTGCCCACTGTGTCCATGGTTGGGTTTCCACTTCCTCTTCTGATTTATTTATGTTTTATCGAGCCCCTTTCCCTTTCCTTTGTGGCTCAAGGGCAGGGTTCCCCCCAGGGCTGCTCTAGCACTGTGGGCTCCCTGCTGCTGGATCCCCTGTGCTGGCATCCGATCCCCTGCATTGGCAGCGGCTGCGGCTCACACATGCAGCTGGGAGCAGGTGCAAGTGCAGCTTGGGCAGCAATGGGCAGGGGATCAAACAGCATCCGGGGTCCCATCTGAGCCGCTGCACAGGGCTGGGTGTCCCGTTCCTCCAGACTGAGCTTGTTCTGCTCAGCACCCAAGTCTCCTTGCATTCATCTCCCCACCTGGCCCCTGCAGCCATCTTCCCTCTGACTCGGTCACAACAGACACTTCTTGGCACCCTGGTAGGATCTCTGTGATCCATCTCCTGTGAAGCTCCTGTTTTTGCGCCCGGCGGGGGGTGTGGTGGCCTGGTTGCCTGCCGAGCGTGGCCAGGCAGTGGGTGCGGGACTGCCCTGCTCCCGCCCAGGGCAACACGGGCGATGGGGCCTTTGGTCTGGGGTCAGGGCTGAGCTGTGGCTCAGGCTCCTTCTCAAGCAGAGGAGCCTTAATTGGCTTTGCTCTTGCACCGATTGCCCCGGCACTTGTGACGCTGGCTGGAGACCAGGTAGCATCAGCAGCTTTGGTTACGTGTGCATCCCTGGCACCCGGTACCACCGAGGGGATGGGTATGTGGGCTTCTCGCCTGCCTGGGTTGGGGCTGCTGCAGGTCCTGGGTCCCTTGGGAGGTGGCAGCTGTTCCCTGCAGCTGGAAGGAGGTGGGTCTCATGGTGGGCAGAGGGGTTGCTTCTGCCATGCTTGGAAAGGGGCAGATGGAGGGGAGGAGACTCAGCGTTTCAGGCAGAGGGGCCCGTGATGGTGGAGTGCTTCCTCCACCCAGGTCACAGCTTTCATCCCAGTGCCGGCAAGGACCACTGGGCACGGGGACAGCAGGGACCTTCTCTGCCCCTGTCTGCCAGCGGCACAGTCCCAGATACAAGGCCACTTGGAAAGCAGGAGCACAGAGCATATTTAATCGGCTTATGGTATCTGGCTGTGCCCACACCTCTGCCTGTGCTTCCCGTTTGCTGTTTCCCCCCTTTCTTATCACGATCCTTTCTGTCTGAGCAATAGGGCCTGTGGGTGTTGACATGGGACCTCACCCAGGACGAAGGGTAGCACAGTGACGGGGGTGTCGCTGCCTCAGAAGTGTCCGTGTCCCCGATGGCTGTTTTCTTGATTCATAGACGTGTGCCGGCCTGTTCAGAGCTTGTCTCTGGAGCCACAGACCCTCATCCTGCTGTGTGGCTGTCGCTGAAATCCAGTGGGTCCTGCCCGTGGTCGCAGCCTGGCTGGGTGCAGCATTCGGTGTTATTAAACGAAGACAGAGAAATGCAGCTTTCATGGGGAAGAGCCTCACCAGCCCGCCTATTGCATGCTCCCCCGAGGTCCGGGAGCTGCCAGACTCTACAGCAGCAATTGCTTCCCCCACCCAGATCTGGATTATTGTTTGCAGATATCGCTCCTGGCTGCCACCTGGTCTTGCTGATAGTTTACCCCGCTTTAGCCAGGAAACCATAAACCCCGCTGCAAGCAGCCGGCTCCAGCTTGCCAGCGGTGTGAGTGCAGCCCCTTCACCTTTCCAGGGCCTGCCAGCCTGGGTGTTTTGGGGCAAAATAGTTTTCCATCAGACCAGTAAGCCATGCTCTTGTTCATCCTGTCCCTGGATATGACACAGGAGCATGTGGCTGTGGGCACTGGGACGAGGAGTGTGTGTGGTGGTAGGACTGTGGCTGCTGCAGTCACACAGAGTTTGGTACAGCCTGCCTCTGCTTTTTCCATGTTTTTCTGCCTTTTTTTTTTTTTTTTTTTTGAGCAGCTTGGGTAACCCCCATCACTGGCTTGCAGAAAGGGAGCAAAGTCTTGGGTGGTGTGGCAGCACCTGGCCGCGGCCCCGTGCCTCGCGCCCCGGTTTGTAGACCTGCAGGCCAGGGTGCCCCTGGGGAGGGGACTGAACGGGGGTTGATGGGGAGGGCTTTTCCTCCAGCCAGAACTGAATCCAAAGCAATTCTCTAACATTTCTATCAAGTGTGATCTACAGCTGAATCCAAACGTTGTTTTCTAGCCCAACTCAGCTAAAGCCTGGCACAGGACGGGAGTCAGCTTCACCTTCACTGGTCCTGCATCAGCCCAGCCCTGCGCACCCCCAAAGCTCCCACTGCCTCCGCTCCTCCCAGACCTGGGCTGGGTGTCTGCCCTCCTGGCCACCCCGTGTCCCTGGCGTTCCCTCCCTGCAACCCGCCCTTGTCCTCTCGCATGCCGGTGGCATGTGACATTTACCAGATTATTACTGGTCTGAACTGGAAGCTAATCAAAATGATGTCAGTCATAACCGTACCCCGCCTATGACAGGATTGGAAATGCTCTGGTATATGGGGTGGGCTACCTGTTGCAGCCCCAGCCCTGGGGATCTCCTGGCGTGGATATGGTGACCATAATTTTGTCCTGTTAAGGACATGCGTCTAACCGGTTCCTGCTGGGCTTCCCCTGCTGGGTTTGATTTCCCTCCTCTCCCTGCACGCAGCGGTTGCGGAGCATCGCTGTGAGTTGTGAAATGCCTGCCGGGTTCTGCTCCAGCAGTGGCCGCTTCTCAGCAACGAGCACAGTGATCCCAAATAGGCGCGATCCCTTCCTGCCTCGGTGCAAGCAGACGGCAGGCGCAAGTCCCTGCTTGGGGACGTGGGAGCAGCTGTGCGCAGTGCTTTCCCGGGCAAGGGGGCTGCGAGCACGGTCCAGCCCCCCAGGGCCTGTTTTAGATCATCTTTGAGGACTTTTAAAGCCCTGCCGTTGTGTGCAGGGATGAGGTGCATTCCCAGTTTGCATGCTGGTGGTAACATCGTTAACATCACCCCTTTTTTTTTTTTTTTTTTCCAGACTGCTCTAAGTGCTTTTTTCCAAGAAACAAACATCCCCTACAGCCACCACCATCAGATGGTAAGTGCTTTCCCACCTCTCCAGCTCTCGCCTGCGGCACAGCACCAGCTGGCGGGCGCTTTGGGCTCTTGCTGATGCCCAGCTCGCTGCTTCACAGCTCCAGGAGTGCAGGCAGGGAGGTCTGGCCGGGTGCTGCCAGAGCTGCCTGCCAAGGAAGGTTTTCCTGGAGAGCAGCCGGGGGTGGCATAGCCTGTCCAGTGGGACAGCAGGTCCGGGAGTGCCCTTGGAACCCAAATGGGTTGGGGCTGCTTCTCAGAGAGGGATGGTCCAATGGAGGATGCTTTGGGCATGGCAAATGGTCCTGACCAGCCCCAACATGGCAGAGAGCGCCTGGGGGCACCTGGAGCAGCCCGTAATCTGCCTGGGCAGATGTGTGTTGGGGATTTGCTGCCGTGGCCTCATTTGACTCTCCGGGACAATTGGGGATTTGGAGCGTGCAGTGTAAGCGTGCAGAGCAAGTGCCTGGCGGGGCCTGAGTGTGCCCGGTCTCCTGTGGGGTGGGAGCTGAGCCTGAGCTTTGTGCCTGCCAAGGTGGCACCAGCAGGTCGTGGAGCAGAGGGGGTCCCCGACTTGGCCAGGCACAGCGGGGTCCCTTCTGGGCCCTCTGACAGGAGCTCTCACCCCACAGCGTCAGTCTTCAGAGCCTTAAATAACTGCTGCTTGCAGGCAGCATCATCAGCAGAGCGTGGGTCCGGGAGCTCCGTGTGCTGCAGCGGTGGGGGCAGAGGGGTCTTGTACTGGGCCCTGGTGGGAGGCAGAAGGTGGAGACCCCCCACACCTGACCCCGTGTCTCCTTCCCACAGATGTGCACTCCTGCCAACACGCCGGCCACGCCGCCTAACTTCCCCGACGCCCTCACCATGTTCTCCCGCCTCAAGGCCTCCGAGAGCTTCAACAGCAGCAGCCCCGTGGCCTCCATGGCAACTCCGGGGGGCCGCCCAGCCGCCGTCTCCCAGCAGGCCACGGCAGAACAGAAGGCCAACGTGACCATGGAGGCAGAGAGATGAGGCTGCAGCAGAGAGCAAACACGGCGGGGACCCCTGCGTATAAATATATATATATATATTTTTTTCCCCCTCCCCAAAGAGGAGAGGAACTCTGCTGCCAGGGCATCTGGCAGCTACTGAGACACACGAGCAAATAGCTGCCTTGCATGGGTTTGGTTTGAAGTAGTTTTTACTTGTCCTTGAGCTGAACAGAGCTCCCCAGAGACAGCGGGAGGCTGCGTGGGACACGGGACCGGTGCTGGCCTCTGCCTGGGACCCCGCCGCTGCCGGGCTCTCAGGGAGGCAGCACCCCCTCCTCTCTTGGGACACCGGAGTTTGCATGCGAGTGACGTTTACGGAGGAGGTCCCTTCTTCACGGTCCCCTGGGCCACCCCACCAGGCAGAGTGGGTTGTGCCTGAGTGTTTTCCTCCCCTCCCTTGGCCCCACTCAACTGGGTGGGGGGCAGACACCCCACACGGCTTGTTTTTTGTAAGGCGGGGAGAGAGCAAGGACTGTTCCTGCTCGGCCGCAGCCTCCACCCCGCATGCGCCGTGCTCGCTGGTGAGTAGGGCTGGGGGACGCTGGCTCCCGGGGAGGTGCCTGGCCCCTTGTCCAGCCCTGGGCTGGGCGATGGGGAGCGGGGGGGGGGGCCAGCACCCCCTCCCACCGCCCTGCTGGTGTAAAGACGTCTGTGTAGGCGGCTCCAGGGGTGGAGAAGGCGGCGGTGGAGGCCGGTGCGGAGGTGGTGGTGGGTGTTGTGGAGGCCATGTGTGCGGACGTTGCTCCAGTGGTGGAGCAGGTGGCAGGGGAGGGCGGTGTGGGGGGGGGGGGGGGGGGCAGCACACCCTCCCCTCGCCCTCCTGGGATATGGGGTTTGCCCTGGGGCTGTTTGCATGACACAGTGTAACCCTAGAGACTGGGATCGTTTTTAACCCCTCTGTTCTTTTCTCCCGGCGGCTGGAAGTCTCTCTGGACGCGCCGCAGCCGCTTGCAATACATGCTCTTCTGCTTTGAACCCAGTGTCTTTGCTTCGTTTGCAGCAGCGGCGGGACGCGGGGAAGGCTGGCCTGGGCCTGAGGTGTTGCAGGATCCCCTCTCCGAGTGGCGCTGAGCATGCCGTGCCTCCGAGCTGGGGCTGGCCGCCTCTCCGCCAATGCGTGCTGCTCCAAACACCCCGTCCCAGCTGTGCAGTGGCTGCCAGCTGGCTTTGGTCAGGTGCATGCCAGGGCTCAGCCTCAGCAGAAGTCAGCTCAGCCCTGCCTGCTGCCCCACCACATCAGCTGTGGGTGCGACACCCCACCAGGAGCAGGGGCAGGCTGATGGCAGGGCTGCAGGGAGCCCTCGGGTTCCTGTGTGACACCCACAGGCCCTGGGTGCCTTGCTGTGACCTGGCTCCTGTCCCCATTCACCGGATAACAGGGGCCGGGTCCCTTGGAGGTTGCCATCGCTGCTGAGCCCTCTCCCCATGAGGCCATGCCCCTGCATCCCTGCACTCACAAGTCAATAATTAATTTCAATCTCTTATTTGTGTTGCTAAAATAAACATTGTAGGAGTGATGGTTTCACCCATGCTGCCTCTTGTACAGCCTCGGCGGAGGCTGGGAGCGAGGGCTGGAGCTGGTGCTGGCCCTTGTGAGCTTCCCTGTGCAGGGTTGTGCCGGAACTGTGTGGCTCTGTCCTGCCCCACTGAGGTGGACTGGGCTGAGCTGGTGGCATCTGGAGCAAGCTGGGGCTGTGGGCCTCGTGTCCTGACTGCGGTGGCCTGAGCACATCCAGGCCAGCGTGGGGATGGTCTGTGAGGCAGGGGCTGTGTGGCATGGAGCCCACCCAGGGGAGACTCGGAGAAGGGATCTGGCCTCAGAAGGAGGCACCTGCCCGTGGAACAGGTTGAAGCTGTGTGGAGACCTGGGTGGCGGGGAGAGGAGCCTGCTTGTGACTGTCCCAGAGCCACCAGGAGCCGCAGGACTAGAAAATGCAGGGCCACACCGCAGACCTGAACGTCTGGCTGGTCACTGAGAGAGCTCCCAGGGACGTGGCACAGCCCAAAAGTGTCAGGCTCCGGTTGCTACATCCCCAAGGACGCCCCATGTGCCCCCTCAAGCCCAGGGACCACACAGGAGAGGCAACAGAGGAGGGAGCAGCTTTATGGCCTGCGGTGTTACCCCACTGCAATGAGCGGGTGCCGGGGCAGCGTGGCCCCCACCCCACCGGTCCCCTAAGGCCAGGCAGCACAGCCCTGGTGTGCCTGCCCCCTCCCCAGACCCCCAGGCCACTTCACAGCCCTCTGGCCAGCTCAGACGCCTGCTGTCCTGTTGCCACCTGTGGCAGCGTGCCACTGCCCCCCTGAGGAGCCCATTTTTGTCCGCATGGCAGCACCTGCAATGCAGAGGGACAAACAGCCTTGCACAGAGCCCCCAGGAGCGCTCAGCAGCAGGTTGAGCCTGCATGGTTGGGCTGGTGGCCCTGGGGGGACAACCAGGGCAGGCACTCACATGAGTACGGGGACACATAGTGTCTGCCGTATTTGGTGGTGTGGCGCATCTCCGTGGTGTGCCGGGAGCAGGGCTGGGGGGTCTTCGTTGCTTTGGGATGAGCAGGACATGCTGGTTCAGGTGGCTGCGCAGCCTGGCCGGAGCTAATGCGGTGCCCTGGGGCTGCTCCCCTGCCTGGGAAGTCCTTGCCCACAGTGATGGTCTTGTTGGCAGCCAGCGAGCTCAGCCTGCCCTTGTAGACAACCCCGTTGATGCCCAAAATATCCACTTCTCTCTAGAGGGAAGAGCAGCCGGTGCCATCGGAGGTCTGGGTGGGCTCGGTGGGTTTCCAGAGCACAGGGACACACAGGGATGGGGGCTCACATTCTCGCAGGTGAAGTCTGCAGGGTCTCCGCAGGGACAGACAGTGACGAGAGAACTGGAGGTGGACAGTGGCCTGGCAGGACTGGCGGGCCCCCCCCGGCTGCCCCTGCCGCTCCCTTTGCTCTCCCTGGGCAGGGAGCACCGACGTTACCCCTCCTGCCCAGGGAGAGGGGACCCCAAAGGGAGAGAGAAGGGACGTGGTGGCACCTGGCAAGCCTCACCGTGTCGGGCAGTTGGAGCTGCCGGTGCTGGCTGGTTGGGGCCGGAGGAGCTGGCTGGCCTTTCGCGTGGTCACCAAGTGCCTGCGGATGAGGATGTGAAGGCAAAGTCGGGCAGCGGTCTCCAGTGGAAGTGCAGCATGGGGGGTCTGTCCTGGGGGGGCTGCATACTACTCACGGCGCCGGGGCCATGGCTAGGGGTCTGTCGCAGGAGATGCACTTCACTGGATCAAAGAGCTGCCTGCAGCAGAGGGGTGGCTGCTCAGCGCCTTGCTGGCACCCCAGGGACTGCGCGAGGTCCCACGGGTGGCCGGCGCCCCATGGGCAGGGTGAGACAGTTTGGATGGGACGGACAGGGCAGGATGGGACAGCATGGGAGGGGATGGGGCAGTACAGGAGGGGATAAGGTGGGATAGGATGGGATGGGATGGGACCCAGCAGCCCCCACCTCTTGAAGCCAGCAGCATGGTTGGCACCGCAGCAGTGTCCCTGGCAGAGGCACTGCTGGGTGAGCCTCCACACCTGCTCCAGCTGTGCTTGCAGGGGAGCCAGCGCCGCACAGTCCAGCTGCAGGGAGGGCAAGGGTGCTCATCGGGACACCAGCCCCATTTCAAGGGATGCTGTTGCCCCTGAGGGACATTGGGGACACCTTGGGACACATGGCCAGCCATGGCGCAAGAACTGTCATCTCTTGGTGTTGGCAGATTCAGGGCTCACCCTCCCCACCCAGGGATGTGCTCCCTGGCCTGGTGCATCCCTCCATCCCCACCACCCTCCCCGGGTGACACTGCTACCTTGGAGTCCATCTTGCTGACGAGCTTCTCCAGGGCTTTCTGCCTGTCTTGGTCACGCAGGAACATCCTCTGCAAAAGGTCCTGCATCATCTCGCTCAGCTGGACCATGGCATGTTGCAGCTCCTCCTGGCTTGCTTTGGTCTCCACCACAGCCTTGTCTGCTTTCTGAGGGGGTCATGGTGTCAGCCATCCCCTGATGACCCCCAGTCCTGCCACCATCTCCGCATGCATTTGCTTGCTCACAACACCCAAGCCCTGCTCCAGCAGCACGTTGCTCCTGGCTGGGTGCTCCAGCATCCCACGCAGGCTCCACGCCTGCCACGTGCTCCCAGCCACCCGCCCTCTCCTATGCCTCTCTTGGAGCCGCTCAGCATTGTTCATCCCCAGCTCCACCAGCGTGGCATGGCCACAAAATCCTGGCACGCTGAGCTGCTTCGGAGTGGGGATGCGCCAAGTTTGGGCAAGCCTGTACCCAGCCTGGTTCAGATGCCAACCATGGCACAAGCGGCTCCCGAGCTGAGCCCAGGTCTGTGCTCACCTGGGTGTCCTTGGTGTCACCCCACAGCCGCTCCGCAGCTTCCTGCAGCCTCGTGCACTGCTCCTGCAGCTGCCCCACCTGGTCCAGCACCTCCCTGCCGAAATCCAGCTCCTGGGGAGGACAAATGTGGCCCTGGGTAAGAAACAGGGTGGCTGCAGGATCTGGGCGAGGCAGGGAGGTATGCTTATGGGTGGCCCCAGTGAGTGGCTAGCAAGGACATCCTGAGAGATGCCCCAGTGTGTCCCTGGCAAGTGGGGTGCGGGGCTGCAGCCCCCAGACCCTCAGACAGCCCCCTCCGAGGCCCGGGCAGCTGAGCACCTTCTCTCCTCTGTCCTGCAGGTGCCTCGTCTTGCCTGGCACCTTCTCCAGTTGGGCAGCCATGTCCTCCAAGGTCCTGGAGTCGGCTGAAAACAGACACCAAAGCTTTACTCGAGGCAGTGCTGGCTCCTGCAGGCCGCCAGCACCGTGCTGTCCCAAATCCAGGTGGCTTTATGGCTGCAGAGACTCCCCTGTCCCTGCTGCCAGTCCCCGGGCATGGCCAGCACCAAGGCACCCAGGGGTGCCACAAAGGGCAGTGACAACATCCCCGCCAGCCGTGCCAGTGTGGCTGGGAGTGAGGCAGAGGGACAAGGGGGCTGCAGCAGCTTGGGGACCCAGACAGGATGGCTGAGTGTGGCCTCATCATCCACCAGTCCTGGCAAACGTCTGCTGGCACAACCTGGCACAGTGGCCCGGGATGGTGGGGATGTCAGTGCTCACTGTGCTGCTGGAGCCGGCTCTCATGGCAGCTGACACGGGTCCCCACGGCTTCATGTTGCTCCAGCAGCCAGCTCAGCCTGCATGGGGCCTTGTGGGCTGGCTCCTGGGAAGGCTCAGCACTGAGCTCCTGGCCAGAGAGCTTCTGAAATGAAACAGCCCCCAAGATTTTGGGGAGAGGGAAGACCCCCATGGCTCTGTCCTGGAGCCAAGGGGCATTGCCAGCCCCCAGCAAGAGAGCCTGGCACCCGGGAGCCTGCACGCACCTCGCCCGTGGGCACCCGGCAGAGAGATCTGCAGCACAGCGTGGCGGCATGCCAGGGGAAGGAGCTCAGCTCCTGATGCACCTCTGCCTGTGACCGGGAGAGAAATCAGCCCTTCCGCCCTGCTCCAGGAGCGGAGAGCCTGGACAGCCCCCAAGATGGGG